GGGGGGGGGGGCACTGACGGCAGGAGCCCCCCCCCCCACCATTCCCAAAACTCAGCATCTGCAGGCATCCCTAGCCAGCCCCCTCCTCACCGTGCCAGGCAAGCCAGCTTCCCCAGCAGCCCCACACAGTCCCCTCCACCCTGTTACCTTAGAAATCATTTAAAGAGATTATGCCCATGGGTCTCCAAAGAGAATGAACTGGCCCCAGCAGCGGCTGTTCGTCCTGCCCAGGTTCCCTGCCTGCCCCAGCCCCTGCACCAGCCACCCCTGCAGAGGGGGTGGGGGGGCTCTGCACCCCTTGTATGCCAGCACCCCCCCTCCCTGCTCTGCCTCACAACGGTGGCCATGGCAACCAAACCCAGCCACCCCATTGGCTGAGTTGCCTCTGAGCATCCTTCATCCCTTTCGGGGAATGCTTTCCCCCAACGCCCACCCCCTCCCAGGGCTGGGGCTGCTCCCAGAAGACACCCCAGGTTCTCACCAAGTCCCCGCTGTGCCGGCAGCTCGTCCCCAGCCTGACAGTGCGAAGGGCTGCAAGCCTGCCTGCAGCCCGGCCCAGGTGCGAGGGCGCTTGTGGCTGCGTGTGCATCGTGTGCGCAGGGACCCTCGGGGGGAAGAGTGCCAAAAATACCTCTGAAACACTGCTGCCAGGGAAACGAGGCTTCCTGCAGATTAAAAGCTGAGCAGCGCCTGCTTGACTGGGGAGGTAGTCTGGAAGACGTCAGGGACTGATTCTGCCCTTGCTGTGCTGCTGCCAGTTTCGGTGGTTTCCCCAGCATCAGGTCCAGCTCTGCCATAGGCGCAGATGCCCCACCTGGCCGATCAGTCCTGTCTTTGCCTGCATTTGTGCACTTGGAAACAGTTCTACTGCTCCATCCCACAAAAACCACAGGCTGAGCAGGGGATTTTTTTCTTCTTGTTGATTTGCAATTCCCTCTCTGGTGTCATTGAGGAGACAACGTTCTGTGAGTGGAGGGGCAGCTGCCCCCACTGAGGAGGTGAGAGGGACCAACTTATCCTGGGTTCCTGTACTCAACGCTGTGGTCTTGGCTTTGCCGTGGACACTCCCAGCAACCAGGGCCGAGGAAGCTCTTGTCTCCTGTGGGATCCTGGCCTGTTTTCCCGGTGCCCTGGCCCAGCACCCAGCCCTGGATTGTGCTGCGCAGGACAGAGGGAGCTGTGCAGAGCACACCACACCGGGAGGAGGGCAGAGTGGTACCAGGTTTCGGCAGCGTGGGGTAGAGCACTGCAGTGCCCACTCGCTTCTGGATGTGCCGGGCAGCGCCGGAGCGGGCAGCGCAGAGGCCGGCG